CTGCTTCGTCTTGGGGTTCTGCTGGTGCTTCGCCGAGACTGTCTCCGCAGCAGTTGCGTGAGTGGTTTGTTCGTCGCGCCCGCCTTCAGAGTGGAGCTACCGGGGCTGGAGGTGCTGGAGGTGCTGGACCTGCTGGAGCTGGAGGTGCTGGAGTTGTTGCTGGAGCAGGCGGTACTGGGGGTGCTGAGGCCACTGGTCCTGGAGGTGCTCGTACCAGGGGTACTGGAGCTGCTGGGCTTGGTGGTGTTGAGGGTGCTGGAGCTGGAGACCTTACGGAGGCTGGTGCTACTGGCGCTGGTGGCGCTGGAGCTGGAGGAGCTGGAGTTAGAGGCACTAGCGCAGGAGGCGCTGGAGCTACCGGAGCTGGTGTTGGAGGCACTGGAGCTGTTGACACTGGCGGAGCTGGAGGCACTGTGCGGCCACGACCGTACTTCGTTCCCCTGCTTCAGCAGGTTCTTCGTACCCCGTCTTCTACCGGCCCTACTCCTCCTTTCCTGTGTCCTCTGCCTGACCAGTCGCAGCCGCCGTTACAGCCCAGTGTCTCCCCACTGAGCAGTCCGGCGGTCTTACAGAGCGTCGTGAGCCTGCGTCTCGTCCTGTCTCGCCTGTTTGCACTGCTCGTCGCGCTCCTTGTTCGCGTCCTCCTCCTGTCCCCGGCACGCACGCTATGACCCTTCGTCCTTCCTCTGTTCCTCTGCGTGTCCCTCTGCCTGCTCCTCCTGCTTCCTCTCTTCTTGAGATCCCTGACCCTGAGTCTGACCGCGCTCGTGCTGCCAGTCCCACTGTCTCTCGTCTCCTTGCCACTGCTGTCAATGACCCTTCCTTTGAGTCTGCTGCTGCGTCTGCTCTCGTTGCTGAGCTGCTTGACTTTGCTGCTGCCTGTCGTCTAGACTACGCCACTGCTCTCGTTGCTGAGTCAGCGTCTGCCAGTCCTTTGTCCGTCGGGGGTGAGTGTGCTCTTGGCACGGACGTCCTTGAGGACAGGCAGGAGGACTTTGAGTGTCTTGCAGCTGCTGTACCTCGGTTCGCTTCCATGCTACTTGCCCCTGAGGGAGACCCGGATGCTCCAGACATCCCGACCTCGCGCTCTTACGCAGAGGCGATTACGGGTCCTTACTCCTCTCCGTGGTAGGCAGCCATGGATGCCGAGATGGCATCCTGGATGTCCACAGGCACCTACATCGACAAGGTTCCCCCACCTGGGGCGAACATAGTCGATGGCATGTGGATCTTCAGGGTGAAGCAGCCGCCGGGTTCTCCGCCTGCCTTCAAGGTGCGTTACGTTGCTCGAGGTTTCAGTCAGCGACAGGGAGTGGACTACTTCCAGACCTTCTCCCTTACCCCAAAGATGACCACTCTTCGGGTGTTGCTGCACGTCGCTGCTCAGCGTGACTACGAGTTGCACTCTCTGGACTTCAGCATAGCTTTCTTGCAGGGCAGCCTGCACGAGGAGATCTGGCTGCGCCGACCACCTGGTTTCACTGGGACGTTTCCTGCAGGTACCTAGTGGAGCCTCCGCCGGCCAGTCTACGGTCTTCGCCAGGCGCCTCGTGAGTGGCTCTTGGGTTTGCTCCTTCTACTGTGGACCCGTCGCTGTTTCTACGCACCGACACCTCGCTGCCACCGTTCTACGTCCTCCTCTACGTCGACGACCTTGTCTTTGCCACTGCTGACACTGAGGCACTGACCCTTGTGAAGTCGGAGTTGCAGAAGAGACACACCTGCACTGACCTGGGTAAACTGCGCAGCTATCTTGGCCTGCAGATCACCCGGGACAGAGCACGGCGCACCATCACACTGACTCAGTCACACATGGTGCACCAGGTCCTTCAGCGCTTCGGCTTCCAGTTCTCCTCGCCACAGCCCACTCCTCTGTCTACCAGCCACTCGCTCTCAGCTCCACCTTCGGACGAGTCTGTAGAGCCGAGTGGTCCGTACCCAGAGCTTGTGGGTTGCCTCATGTACCTGATGACTTGCACTCGACCTGACCTCGCGTACCCTCTTAGCCTTCTGGCTCGCTACGTGGCTCCCGGTAGGCACCGAAAGGTGCACTGGGATGCTGCGAAGAGGGTACTGCGTTACTTGTGCAGTACGTCGGGCATGGGGCTCGTGCTTGGAGGACGGGGTCCTGTTGTCCTCACCGATCACGCAGACGCCTCCTGGGTTGACGACTCAGCTACGCAGCGGTCGTCACAGGGTTACACCTTCAGTCTTGGTTCCGGCTCTGTGTCGTGGCGGTCTACCCACTCGTCTTTGGTTCTCAGCTCCAGTTGTGAGGCTGAGATCTACGCCGGGGCTATGGCTGCTCAGGAGCTCCGCTGGCTGACCTACTTGCTGACCGACTTGGGAGAGCAGCCTCGTTCGCCTCCAGTTCTGTACGTGGACAACAAGGCCATGATTGCCTTGTGTCAGGAGCACAGACTGGAGCACAGAACGAAGCACATCGCTCTGCGATACTTCCTTGCTCGAGAGTTGCAGCAGCGTGGTCAGCTTCGTCTCGCGTACGTGGCCACTCAGGCCAACACTGCTGATGTCTTCACCAAGGCACTTCCGCCTGGTGATCATCAGCGCTTTGTTACTCTGTTAGGCCTTGTGCCCACCTTGCCTCACTTGCTTACTGCCTGAATCTGCTTGTACTGTGATCTATATATATACCTGCATGCTTGCACTTGCTAGGGTATGATCACTGTATTGTTTGTTCTCTTTTTATAACTCTGCATGTGAACTGGCCTTGTGGCCCTTTGCTTGTGCTCGGACTGTGTGGTGACTTTGTGATCCACCCTGAGCTTGCTTTGCTTTTCTTGACTGGTCTTGTGACCACTTGTTCTCCCCCACTTTGCCTATGGGGGTGTGTCATAACATTATAGCTTATACAGTTGTGTAGGCTATAGTGGGGTAGCCCATAGGAGGTACAACCCAATTAGGGTTAGTACTTGGACCCAACTTATTCATAGTTCATCCATTCTTGTTCGTTAGTTTGATAGCTGCCACAGGTTCCGCGGTCGCGGTCGTTGATGATCGCTGTTGGTATCAAGTGTAGTCGAACGACGGTGGAGATGAAGAGGGGGGCTATTTCTTCGGCTGTGTTCGATTTCTTGCAGGCTGCGAAGTGTGCCATTTTCGTCAGCCGATCGACGACGACCAGGATCGCGTCGTTCCCACTTGCTCCGGCCGGTAACCCCGTGACGAAGTCCATCGTCACCTGCTGCCAAGCACGCTCTGGGGGTGGTATCGGCTGCAACTGTCCTTCCGGCTTTTTCCGTGATGATTTCATGAGTTGGCACGTGGGACATGATGCCACGTGTCGCTGCACGTCGGTCAGCATTTCGGGCAAGTAATAATACCGCTGCAGCTGCTGCCGTGTTTTTTCTACTCCGAAATGGCCTGAGGTTACTCCGTCGTGTGCCTCTTGTAGCAGTACTTCTAGTAGTAGCGTGTAGCCCGGTACCCAGATCTGATTGGTGCCGGCTTTTACGTAATAAGCTCCCTTTGCCGCTGCGAACTGCTGCGAATTTCCTCCTGTGAAGAATGGGTCGGTCTGATAGCCGTGGGTAAATAGTCCTGTCAGTAGTGGGCTGGTGTGGCGAGTAGTATCGCATGGATTTGGGCTGTGGGGCGGGTTAGTGCGTCGGCGATGTTTGATGCCCCCTTTTTGTAGGTGGCCGTGTAGTGAAAATTTGACTCGAGGTAGTCGAGCCAGCGAATCTATCGTGGGTTGAGGTGGGGCTGTGCGCGGAGGTACTGTAGTGATTTATGGTCTGTCTGTACGGTCACGTCTTTGCCGGTCAAGTAACAGCACCACACTTTGAACGCATGCACGATCGCAAGCATTTCGCGATCGTGTATCGGGTAATTTTTCTCGGGCGGATGCAGTTTTCGGGACTCGTATGCGAGTAGTCTGTGTTCATCTAAAACCGTAAATATTGCTTCTAAATATGCTAAGTGCTGCTGCTTATCACGACTGTAGACTAGGATGTCGTCGAGGCAAACTATCACGCACTTATCTAAGAGTGGCCTAAACGCCTCGTTCATGGTCATCTGGAATGTCGCCGGTGCGTTGGTCAGCCCGAAAGCTATCACGGTGTACTCAAATGACCCGTACCTAGTCCTAAATGCTGTCTTGGCATAGTCCGATGGTTCGACTCGAATCTGATGGGTAACCTCCACGTAAATCGATTTTCGAAAAGACCCGTGCTGTTCGTAGTTGATCTATCAGTTCGTCGGCGTAGGGAATGGGGTATCGCGATTTGACTGTAACCCTGTTCAGTGCTCTGTAATCGATGCACATGCAAAAACCTCTGTCTTTTTTTGGTGTGAACAGTATTGGTGCTGCGAACGGCGACGAGCTCGGTCGGATAAACTTTTTCTCTAACAGGTAATCTAACTGCTTTCTTAGTTCGTCGAGCTCGGGCTGTGTCAGTCTGAACTGTCGCTGTACGGTTGGCTGTGCCCCAGGTTCTAACTCTATTCGATGATCGTGTGACCGCTAAGGTAGCAGTCCCTCCGGTAAGTCGTCGGGAAAAATCCCCGAGTGCCGCTTTAACAGTTCCTGTAGTTCGGGTGGTACTGCTGTGAGCAGTTTCTGAAAATCGCTCAGCTGCTCTGCTTCTTCCACCACTGCGATATCCACCGCGTACACGTCAGCTCCAGCGGCGACAGCCCGTTTCATTGTGATGGCGTTGATGTGGAACGTTGAAGACTCAGGCGACTGCCAGTGAGGTAGTTCAACCCAGTTACCGCTACTTCGCATAGTGCAGCTACCCGTTGTCCAGTCGATTCGCGGGTTCTACCGTCGCAGCCAATCACGTCCTAGTAAAATGGCGTGCCCATCCAATGTCGTCGCGAGCATTTCCTGTGTAAACCCTGAGTTCCCCCCGCATCGGACTTTCACTCTCTCCACTTTATCCCGTATGGCCAGCGGCGTTACGTCAACCAAGCGTGCATCTATCTCCGATAAACACCGGCTAAGTGCCAGTTGCAGTTTTCTTGCAGTCGCAGATTCAATCAGGTAGGAATGTCCCATGGAAGCCATAAGGTACTCTCTTGGGAAGAATGACCCGTGCCATTGGCTGCTTGTCCAGATTCATTGCATCCAGCACAATCACTTCGCTCCTCATCTCCTCTTCATCCCACACAAGTGCCAACACCCACCCATCATCCACTTCCTCTGCACCCATCCCCACCACGTCTTCACCGATTTCCACCGCGGATTTACCCGTTTTGACTGCTTCTGACCGCACTTCACCACTCTGCAACATGCTGCTGCTCTGAAAGTGGTGTCGTGGAGCAAACACATGCTCCCCACAGAACCTCCCGGGTGGGAGGGTATACACTTGGTATGTGCCTTGCTGGAAATCATACTTCATGATGGCGTTGAATGAGGGAACCGTGGTGCCTGGTGGTGGTTGGGGTGGAGTGGAAAGGGGGGATTGGGAGTGGGGGTATGAGACAGATGGACGGTATGCGTTGGCTTGAGCCCTCAGGTCCCGGGAGTGTGACAGGGCGTTGGGCATCTGGTACGTGCTTTGTGCAAAGTCGTGCTTCAGGATGGCATTGAATGAGGGGACCGTGGTGCCAGGTGGTGGTGGGAGGGAGAGTGGGGGGATGGGTGTGAACACAGGGAAGGGACAGTGCTGATAGAAGAGAGGCGTGGGGCACCTGGTATGTGCCTTGTGCGAAATATGCTTCATGATGGCGTTGAATGAGGCAATGGTGGTGCCTGGTGGTGGTGGGAGGGAGTCGGAGGAGGGCTGTTGCACTCTGCTGATACCACGCCCAACCTAGTTCAGGGTGCTACCCATCCCTGCCCACCCACCACAACCCCTACCCACCTGCCACAACCCCTATCCACCCACCAGCATACCTGCCCTGCCCACCCAAAGGCATCCCTGCCCCCACCGATATAGCCTGCCCACCCACCAACATCCCTATGCACCCCTCACCCGGCTGGGCTGTGCTCTGAATGGGGCAGAGTAAGCGAACCGATGGGGGCGACCCGTGAAGTTGGGGTTGATGGAAGGGAAGTCGCAGCACACCTGTGCAGGTGGCAACAGGGGGCGGAGAGTCAATGGAAGGGCAGGATTACAAGTGGCTATGAGGAGGTTGAGGAGTGATGACCATGAGTTGGGGTTGATGAAAGGGAAGTCGCAGCACACCAGTGCCGGAGAGAGAGGGGAGGAGAAATGAAAGGGGGAAGGCAGAGGAAGGGGAAATGAATGAGAGGATGTGGCGGAGGATTGAAAGTGAGTTGGGGTTGATGGAAGGAATGTTGCAGCAGATCTGTGCTCTGAATGGGGCAGAGTAAGCAAACCGATGGGGGCGACCCGTGAAGTTGGGGTTGATGGAAGGGAAGTCGCAGCACACCTGTGCAGGTGGCAACAAGGGGCGGAGAGTCAATGGAAGGGCAGGATTACAAGTGGCTATGAGGAGGTTGAGGAGTGATGACCGTGAGTTGGGGTTGATGAAAGGGAAGTCGCAGCACACCAGTGCCGAAGAGAGAGGGGAGGAGAGGTGAAAGGGGGAAGGCAGAGGAAGGGGAATTGAATGAGAGGATGTGGCGGAGGATTGAAAGTGATTTGGGGTTGATGGAAGGAAAGTCGCAGCAGATCTGTGCCGGTGGGGAGAGAGAGAGAGGGGGGGAGAGGCAAAAGGAGTAAGTCGAAGAAGTGAGTCGACGGGGTAAGGCGAAGAATCGCGGCGAAGGAGTGAGGCAAATGTGGAAGGCGAAAGGGGATGGCTAAGGGGACGGAAAAGGGGACGGCAAAGGGGACGACACAAGGGGGAAGGCAAAGATATGAGGCGCCTGATAAACACGCTACACATACCTTGCACAAAGAGCGCTCCTCTACTGCTCTCGTTTGCACATCCAGCCTGTACTCGTGCAATTGCGCCACCTCAGTGCACGCCAGCTCATCTGCCAGCTCAGCAAGGCCCAGCGCTGAGAAGGCGGGGAAGCAGGTGACACGTAGGATGATGGCGGGAGGAAGAGATTCTGGGATGGGTGATGAGGGGGAGGTGGAGGAGGAGGTAGGGGAGATGGGGGGAGGAGGAGGAAGGTGGGGAGGAGGTGGGGGCTTTGAAAGAATTTGAGCCAAAGCGAGGAAGCACTACTGGCTTGGACTGTGGGGTAGTGAGGGAGGGTGCTGAGAGAGGGAGAGCAACAAGGAAGGGTTCATAAAGCAGAGTGAGTAAAAAACGAGAAAGCATGGGAGGCTAAACGAGTAAGCATTTGGACATGAGATGGCCTGGATTCGTTTGGGGGAGTGAGGGAAACACAAAGAAAGAGAGGGGAAGAGAGCCCGGGGCGAGAAATCTCTCTGAGAACTCTCAAGAGGGGTGAGGAGATAGCAGAGTCACGCAAAACGAGTGTAGCAGGAGGATCAACATCCACAGGATACGTCCCAGACGTAACCACCACACAGGACCAAGAAGTACCTTTAGATGTAACAAAAAGAAAGAAAGAAAGAAAGAAATGAACGGGAGTCAGTGGCTTACAGGGTCGAAGATGAAGGGCTTGGCCTTGCCGTGCGACTGTATCAAATTGTATAGCTGGAAGCGAAGAGGGAAGTCCCTTCGAGGATTCATACCGGTGTGGGGGCTAGTCCTTTTGATGATACTCGTTATTAAGACAAAACATTTCAAGGATTCTGTAGAGCAGTCGTCATAGAATTTCATATCTCAATCATACAGCACACTAGATTGCAACGTACAAAAATGATTATGACACAGAGAAACGTTAATGTCAGAAGAATGAACGAGAATGAATGCATTGAACAAAAGTTGGGTACAAGTACTAACCCTAATTGGGTTGTACCCCTTATGGGCTACCCCACTATAGCCTACACAAAGTAAGCTATATAACATTTTGACACACCCCCATAGGCAAAGTGGGGGAGAACAAGTGGTCACAAGACCAGTCAAGAAAAAGCAAAGCAAGCTCAGGGTGGATCACGAAGTCGCCAAACATTCCGAGCACAAGCAAAGGCCACAATGCCAGTTCACATGCAGAGTTATATAAAAGAGAAGAAACAGTACAGCGATCATACCCTAGCAAGTGTAAGCATGCAGGTATATATATAGACATCATAGTACAAGCAAGTCAAGCAGTAAGCAAGTGAGGAAAAGTAGGCACAAGGCCTAGAACAGTACAGAAACGCTGATGATCACTAGACTGAAGTGCCTTGGTGAATATATCAACAGTCTTGGCCCTAGTGGCCACATAAGCAAGATGAAGCTGACCACGCTGCTGCAACTCTCGAGCAAGGAAGTAACGTAGAGCAATGTGCATTCTGTCCTCCAGTCTGTGCTCCTAACACAAGGCAATCATGGCCATGTTGTCTACGTACAGCACTGGAGAAGAACGAGGCCGCTCTCCCAACTTGGTCAGCAGGTAGGTGAGCCAGCATAACTCCTGTGCAGCCATGGCCCCTGCGTAGATCTCAGCCTCACAACTGGAACTGAGAACAGAAGACGAGCAGGTAGACCGCCAAGAAACAGAGCCGGAGCCAAGGCTGAAGGTGTAACCCTGTGACGACCACTGCGTAGCCAAGTCGTCAACCCAAGAAGCGTCCGCGTGGCTAGTGAGGACAACTGGACCCCGTCTTCCAGGCACGAGCTCCATGCCCGACGTACTGCACAAGTAGCGCAACACCCTCTTAGCGGCCTCCCAGTGCTCTGGTCGGTGTCTCCCGTGCGCAACGTAGCGTGCCAGGATGCTAAGAGGGTAGGCAAGGTCAGGTCGAGTGCAGGTCATCAGGTACATGAGGCAGCCCACAACCTCTGGATATGAGCCACTCGGCTCTACGGACTCGTCCGAAGGTGGAGCTGAGAGTGAGTGACCGGTAGGCAGAGGAGTGGACAGTGGCGAGGAGTACCGGAAGCCGAAGCATTGAAGGACCTAGTGCACCATGTGTGACTGAGTCAGGGTAATGGTGCGCCGTGCTCTGTCTCGGGTGATCTGCAAGCCAAGATAGCTGCGCAGCTCACCCATGTTAGTGCAGGTGTGTCTCTTCTGCAACTTCGACTTCACAAGGGCCAGTGCCTCAGTGTCACCAGTGGCAAAGACCAAGTCATCGATGTACACGAGGACGTAGAACGGCGGCAGCGAGGTGTCGGTGGGTAGAAACAGCGACGGGTCAGCAGTCGAAGGAGCGAACCCAAGAGCCGCAAGGGTAGTCCTCAGTGTGTCGTGCCACTCACGAGGCGCCTGGCGGAGACCGTAGACTGGCCCCCGGAGGCTCCACTGGGTACCTACAGGAAACGACCCAATGAAGCCAGGTGGGCGGCGCAGCCAGATCTCCTCGTGCAGGCTGCCCTGCAGAAAAGCTGTGCTGAAGTCCAGGGAGTGCAGCTCATAGTCACGCTGATATGCGACGTGCAGCAACACTCGAAGAGTGGTCATCTTCGGGGTAGGGGAGAAGGTTTGAAAGAAGTCAACTCCCTATCGCTGGCTGAAGCCTCGTGCAACGTAACGAGCCTTGAAGGCAGGCGGAGAACCCGGCGGCCGCTTCACCCTGAAAATCCACATGTCGTCGACTATGTTCGCCCCAGATGGGGGAACTGCGTCAACGTAGGTGCCTGTGGACTTCCAGGATGCCATCTATGCGTCCATGGCTGTCTGCCACTGAGAGGAGTAGGGACCCGTAATTGCCTCTGCGTAAGAGCGCGGGGTCGGGATGTCTGGTGCATCCGGGTCTCCCTCAGGGGCAAGCAGCATGGCCACGAGAGAAGGTACAACAGCTGCAAGACACTCAAAGTCCTCCTGCCTGTCCTCAAGGACGTCCGTGCCAAGAGCACACTAACCCCCGACGGACGGAGGACAGGCAGACCCAGACTCGGCAACAAGAGCAGTAGCGTAGTCAAGACGACAGACTGCAGCAAAGTCAACAAGCTCAGTGACTAGGGCAGACGCAGCAACGGACTCGAAAGAAGGGTCAGTGACAACAGTAGCGAGAAGACGAGGGACAGTGGGACTGGCAGCACGAGCTAGGTCAGACTCAGGATCCGGTCCGTCAGCAAGAGAGGACGCAGGAGGAGACAGCAAGGGGACACGCTGTGGAACAGAGGAAGGATGAAGTGCCATATGGTGCGTGCCGGGGACAGGAGGAGGACACGGACGTGGAATACGACGACCAGTGCAAACAGCGCAAACAGGCAAGGCAGGACGAGACACAGGCTCAGACGCTCTATAAGACCTACGTTCTGCCCAGTTTAAGGAGAAGGAGCAGGCAGTGGGGAGGCTGGTTGTAACGGCGGCTGCGACTGGTCAGGCGGTGGACACACTAAAGGAGGAGTAAGGCTAATAGAAGACGGGAGACCAAGAACCTGCTGAACCAGGGGAACGAAGTACGGTCGCGATCGTCCAGTGTCTTTAGAACCAGCACCCCCAGGGCCAGCGCCTCCAGCTCCAGGGTCTCCAGCTCCAACGCCGGCAACACCACCAGCTCCAGCAGCTCTAGTACCTCCAGTACGAGCACCTCCAGGACCAGCGGCTCCAGTACCTCCAGCAGTTCCAGCTCCAGTGCCTCCAGCTCTAACTCCTGCAGCACCTCCAGCTCCAGTAGCTCCAGTACCTCCAGTACGAGCATCTCCGGGACCAGCAGCTCCAGTAACTCCAGCAGCTCCAGCTCCAGTGCCTCCAGCTCGAACTCCTGCAGCACCTCCAGCTCCAGCAGCTCCAGTACCTCCAGTACGAGCACCTCCGGGACCAGCGGCTCCAGTAACTCCAGCAGCTCCATTGCCTCCAGCGGCAGACCCTCCGGCTCCAGCAGCACGACTCTGATGGCGGGTGCGCCGAGCAAACCACTCGTGCAGCTGCGGTGGAGAGAGAGGCTCCCGCCGCGACAAGGCACCCGGAGGACCTCCAGGAGATAGAGAACCCCCAGGCTCAGCACCTCCAGACTCAGGACCCTCAGACTCAGCACCCCCAGGCTCCACACCCTCAGGCTCAGCACCCCCAGGCTCTGCACCCGCAAGCTCAGTACCCCCAGGCTGCGCACCCCCAGGCTCAGCACCCCCTAGACCCCACACCCTCAGACTCAGCACCCGCAGGCTCCGCACCCCCAGGCTCCGCACGCGCAGGCTCAGCACCCCCAGACGCAGCACCTCAAGCAGCACCTGAGTCTACAGTGACCTCAACAGGCACAGTACCAGGGAGTGGGTCTACCTGAGTCACACCTGAGGGAGCAGGACCCTGAGGGGGGAGGGGGTCTACCGGAGGGGGACCTGGAGTTAGGAAGAGCGGCAGGGCTGGGAGAGGGGCAGAGCGGTATGGGAAGAGACGGTAAAAGGGAACCGACTCGTCAAACGTGACGTCCTGAGAGGGGAGGACACGGCGCGAGGTGGGGTGGTAAAACTGCCAGCCAGGCGCGTCAGGGGGGAAACCAAGGAAGACGCAGGGAATAGCGCGGGCGGAGAGCTTGTCCGCGGACGTATCGCGGACAAAGGCACGAGAACCCCAGACCTGGAACACCGACGCATCACCAACCTTCCCCGTCCGGCGCAGTGTAGGCAAGGTCTCCGGCAAGGAGACACGGGGCCAGAGGTTGAGCTGATGCGCAGCGTACCGGACCGCAAACGGCCACACAAAGTGGGGGGCAGCTGCATGGATCATGGAGGTACGAGCGACCTCCATGACTAAGCCAATGCGACGCTCAGCAATCCCATTTTGCTGTGGTGAGGCCGGAAGCGTGAACGACTGGAGGATGCCCTCCCCATGACAAAAGTCCCGCAAGTGGTCGGAGGAGAACTCACCACCTCTGTTAGAGTGCAGACGCAGGACAGGAAGGTCCTGGCGGAACCGCTCGCGTAGCAGGAGACGGACTGCGCGGATCCAAGGGATCAAGGCATCAGGGACCTCACCCTTGCTGTGCAAGGGGAAGATCGTGGTGTAACGCGTGTAGTCGTCAACAAGCAGCAGAAAGTAGCGCTCGCGGCCCTGTCCACTGACGCGGGCTGGGCCCCACACGTCCATGTGGAGAGTCTGCAGGGAAGCAGTCGTCGGGGGAAACGAGGAGGAGTGAGGAGCGGTGCGCTGCCGGCCCTCGACGCAAGGAAGGCAGGGCGGGGCAGGCGAGGGCGGGAGGGGAGGCAGAGACCTAGGAAGACCAGAGACAAGGAGGCATGAGTGCATGCCACAAAGGCGTGGCAGGGAGGGGTGACCAAGGCGCTGGTGCCA